TCCAACTCAGATGGTGATAATATAAGATAATCCTTCAAAGATATAAGGCATACTTTCAGTGAAGCCAAAATCTATGGACCTCTCCTCCCAGGAAAATGCCTCTGTGCATAGGCACATAAAACTTTCCACGACATTCCAGGGGGATTTGCTGAAGGCCATCCGTGGACTAGTCCATGGAGCCGACCAGCTTTAGGGAGCTGCCACACGGATCAGAAGGTCTGGAGATCAGGGCCAGGACTAGTGCTGCACTTGCATAACTCTGAGAGTGAGCTCCTCTTTAAAGTTTGCACACTAAGCACCTCTCTTGCCTCACCCTAGTCCCAGCCCTGCTGAAGATGGGGGGTTACGGCTACATCTGAAAGAAATACATACCTAGTCACATATGTCATTTCCTATTCCATCATAATCTGATTGAAATAATATCTAAAAGCCAGAGGCCTGTACATGAAAACCCTCCTTCAATCCCCTTGTCATTAGGTTAAAATAGACCCAGCAGCATTGAATGCAATGCGTCTAAGGCCAATCTTGACACTGTTCATCCCAGCAAACTCTCCTCTACAGTCTGAAATGACCACAGCAAGCGCTCTTTCAGGTCTCACCACTCATTGTGTGCATGATGCAGACCTGGTGTTTCTTGCTGGCTCTTTGAATGATCTATACCTAGAACTGGACGGCCATCTGCATCCTGACAGACAGGCAAAACTTTAACAGCAGGGATGATGTCGCCAATTAACATTTCCAATAGTCAAGTACTAGAACATTCAAAATCTTAAGTCTGGCTTAGGATCCAAGCACATCCCATTTGTATTGATTTTCTCTTCTCATTCCCAATTTTTCTTCTTTTCCTTGCTTTAAAAGTAGGCACCCATTGTAATATCTCCAATGGATGGATTGCAGACAACTCAGGAAGACCACTCTCTCACACTTCTCAGCAGGAGAAACTAAACTGGCAGAAAGTTACCGGTCACCTGCACCCTTTTGGCTTTCCTAGTGAGGCGAGTCACCTGCCCCCTTTGAAATAGTCCTTTCTGAGATTGTGGCTCCATGACCAGACTAATAATTAAACTCTAAACTCCAAAAACCCAAAACTACAGCCGTCTCCTCGAGCTCTCCTAGAGAAAACAAAAAGTGGAAGGAACCCCTGCTGCAGAGGCTGGGAGAGCACCAGGGAACTGGGGCCAGGGAAAAGAGTCTCATATTTTCTTTCTGGTTTTAGAAACACGTAAGAAATTTGGGAGCCACAAAGGTGGGAAGTTGCATGGACTTGTTGCTCCTCGGGAACGGAAAAAGTGAGGGCGAATGGGTTACTCACGGTACACATTTTTTCCATTGATTATTTTACTTAAAGAGAATATGTCATTTCCCTGGAAAATCGAGGAGGGGGGATATTTTCTTTTGAATATATTCAAACATTTGCAAATGGTTACTCTGAACTCCCCAATCTACCATAAACAAGTGTAAACTGCAGAAATTCAGAAAATGTACAAATACAAACAGCTATCCCCCAAGCTCCAAGGCAAAGACAAAGAAGGGAGTATTTCATTTATAAATGGAATTCTTTGTGGAGAGAATAGTTTGGGAAATGTTTATACATTGTTTTCCTTATTATTGGGGGGGATATTTTTTTTCCAGCTTACAGAAGCTGCAGAACTGGTATTTGGAATCTTAAAGGTTGAAGATTAAAGGAAGTTTACAACCTTTTCAAAATCTTCGACTAAACTTAATTAGTTCTGCATCTAGGAAAATATCTGCCCATTGAAGTCATTTGTAATCATATCAACAAACAAAAACGCATAAAGTCAGGTAACCAGAAACAGAATAACTTCAAAATGGAAAAAAAAAAATACTATAATTTGCCAAGAACCAGCAAATATGATGACTTCTTTGAAGACAACTGTAGCTGCCTGGATTGTTGATTTCAAGACACAGTCTGCTTTGAATCTATTTAAAATGATAAAAAAAATAAATAGTAATAAAGTACGAGAATGGTGGGCATAGTGAAAAGAATGAAGAACGCTGACTGAAGCTACTGACAGACTTTCCTATGAGAAATAATATAAGGAGTCACCAGCAAGCCCGTGGAGAAATTGCTCACCTGCACCTCACCCACTACAACTCCGCCTGTGTTTGTTTGGGGTTTCGAATGCTTCCCACTTTGGCTTTAACTCATCACCAAACAGCAGTCACTGTCAGGCCATAAAAGCCACGCAGGCCTTTATTTAACGGATGCATTTCCAATTTCTGCAACCATACGAATGGGCTGGTTTTCTGAAAGCCTAGAAGAAAAACAGCCACCACGTGTGCACAGAAAATCAGGAAGGGTCAGAAAATGTGAGTGAATTACGGCAGGTGGAGACTGCGCTGTGAGGTGACATGGAACCACAGAGGCCAAGAGGAAATGTGATTTAGTGGAGGAGAGGCGGTTCTTCCCCATCTTAAATCACTTGCCTCGTCACCCCACTGTAGCTGGCAAAGCCTGAGCGTCTCTGACTTCAGAGAAAAGCTGTAATTTCTTGGGGAACCCATGGTAAAAAGAACTCTCCAATCTCAAGGGGATGTGGGCAATTTCATCATTGCATCTTCTGAAATTGGCTGAAGCCAGGTTAATATTTTTAGTAACGACTCTGGTCCACATACAAGACCCTAGCCTGATTCTTTATGCAGAAACATATATCATCCAAATAGCCATCATATATTTCATGCTTTTATGTTCTTTTGGCCCCATGCTACTTATGGATTCGTGGTGCTATTCTTGACCTGGTCACTTCTCACTCCAGTAATGGCAGTAAAATCTTTCACCCTCCCCCCCATTCTTCCTTTAATGTCGTTTGAATGAGTGATATTAGAATGTGTTTTAAGTTACAATTCCCAATGCTTTCTGGCTTTCTAAAGGCCATCATTTTTTTGTCCCACATCTTCCCATTACTCACTGCTTTGTCAACCAGATTAAATTACCCTGGTGCAGAAATCAGAGCCATTTTCAATTGAGGTGACTATGAGAAGACTGAGGCCATGTGTCTTCGGACAGCAGAACTTGCAGATGTAAAATCAAGAAGGAATGGTGAACTGATTTTTTATGTTCTGCTCCTACTAGCAAAGACATTAGTGGTAAAGGAAACCTCAAACTATGGTGGCTGAGAAACCACTCTCACACCTCCCAACAAGCCCCCTTGCTCTCGCTTGGTGCTTCCCAAGCAAACTTCTGGCTATGGGTTAGGCAGATGCCGATGTAAATATGGTGACTTAGAGACAATGGTCTGGACATGCCACATCCAGTGTTCTGGTCCACACCTACATCTCCCACTGTGGAGTAATCAGTTGGTATTCTAGGTTTGCTACTTTTGTTGCTGGAAAAAACAAGAAATGAACACTTAGAGAAGTTGGGAGGTAGGCTTGCTTTCTCTCTAGGAACTTTCCCCCAAGACTACTGAGATAGATAAAAGAATTTTATCAAGTAGTGTAACAAAGGGACCAATTAGCCTATTCTCCTACGGAGGTTTAAAGAAAATGCAGCTCTGGAGTCAGACAGTCTGGATTTGAATCTTGACTCTGCTTACTAACTTGGCAACCTTGGGCAAGTTACTTGTCTTAGCTTCCTCATCAGTAAAATGAAGACAATGGTAATTGTCGTATGGATCCAGATCCGAATAACTACTACTGAAAAACACTTAGAAGAGGCCTGCACATACAAATGTGAGCAACTGGTCTTCCCATAAGGTTCACTCCTCCTGCCCAGGCCTCTCCCCCACTCCTCTTTCCATCTCCCCCAGACTGTTAGTGCCTTGAGGGCAAGCACTGCATTATAGTCACCTTTCTACCTCCCAGCACCCAGAAGGAGCTGTGCACGAGTCAGATGCTCAACAGATGTTCATTTCTCTTCCTTTCCTCTCCATAAACAGTTGATAAACCTCAACTGAATGTTAGCCAGTTTGCTGTCCTCTTGATTAGAGGGGAGAGGTCGGGCTCTGGGTCCGGCAGGCCTGAGTTGACTACTGGTTCCCCCACTTACCAGCTCTGATTTGGGCAAACGTCTCCAAGCCTCATCTTCCTCCTTGGTAAGATGCAGACGATGCCTATTCCACCAGGATTGTCGGGGGATGAAATGAGGCCACACCTGGCTATCGCAGGCATGCCACATGTGCTACTTCCCCTTTCCCTTACTGAAATTCTGGACTCACTATCAAGGGTTCACTTGGCATTAAGCAGGATTCCTACTATTAGGTCAGAGATGTGCACCCTCACCCACTTTGGCAACGTGCCCCTCTTCCCTGTGAAAGCCTCCCACTGTCTACCCACCAGCTGAGCTGCTGAGCCAGAAAATGGGAAGAAAGAAAAGCTGGACAGCGACGTCCAGGCCTGCCCTAGGCAATGCTGGCTGGTGACAAAATGAAGGAGGAGACCCCATGAACCGGAGCTATGAGCCACCGCTCCAACACCCTGCCAGGCAAATGGGGCTTAGTGGCCTGGGTTCAGTCAGCACAAGCATGTAAGAAGGTTAGATTTTATTCTCATCTTGCAAATGGAATCCCGTGGTTACTCGGAAATTCAGTGAGTTGGGACATTCTGCCAATACCATCTCCAGGAAGTGGCCCAGCTCACCTTTTACCACAGCCTTGTAACCTCATGACCGAACATTTAAAGGTCCCAAGTAATCTCTCCCTCCTCCCCACATCCTCCTCTTCTTCAACAGGGTGAATTACAGAGAAAAGCATATTAATGAAAGTGTAATTAAGTAGTGTTTCAAGTCAGTTTCAAGACTGGGCTCTACCATTAAGTGACCTCGGGCATGGCACTGAACACGCTGTGACTCAGTTTCCTCAGCTGTAAAATGGGAATGACGTTGGATCAAAATGATGATAGTGTGTGACCACACAAGGTGTACTGGAAAACACGTAAGGTAAAACCATGATTATCAATACGACTCTCTCGCCTCTGCCTCGTAAGAAGTACGGAGAGGTGCACTGGCTCGGGCGGAGGAGAGCCCCAGCGGACATACAAACCTTTTACTTATTCTGATTTCTAATTCGGAGGCACCTCCTTTTGAGCGGAGGCTCCAGGTCCTCCGGCCCGGCGCTGAGCATGGGCGAGGAGATGATGCACGGCGCCATGGCAGTCTTCTCCGCCGGTTTTGGCACAGGCTGGATCACGCAGCCCGTCTTGGGCAGCATGCGCAGAGCATACGCGTGGTCCTCGTCCGCGGGGTTATTAAGGTTCGGGTCTGACTTGTCGCCCCCCGCCAGGGCCTCCTCCCCCATCAGCTTCTTGGCCGCCTCCCCGTCCAGGTGGCAGTTGGAAGCACAGTTGTTCTCCTTGACGGACTCCAGCTCGCTCACCGCGGGCTCCTCGGGCGACAGCAGCTTCTTGGGGGGCGCGGGCGGCGGCGGCGGCGGCGGCGGGGGCTGCTCGGGCGGCGGCTCCGCG